TTGGGAATTTTTGCCCATTCCTCTTTGCAGTACCTCTTAAGCTCTATCAAGTTGGATTTGAAACAACGGTGTACAGCCATTTTCAGATCTCTTCGGAACGCCTGGCATTCACTCCAAAAAGTCAATTTTAGTCTCATCAGACCAGACAATTTAGTTTCTTATGGTCTGAGAGTCCTACAGATGCCTTTTGGCAAATTCCAGGCAGGGAGTGTCTTCCGTCTGGCCGCTCTACCATACAGGCCTGATTGGTGGAATGCTGCACAGATGGTTGTCCTTCTGTAAGGTTCTTCTCTCTCCACAGAAGAATGCTGGACCTCAGACAGAGTGACCATCAGGTTATTGATCACCTCCCTGACTAAGGCCCTTCTCCCCCGATCACTTAATTTAGATGGCCGGCCAGCTCTAGCAAGAGTCCTGGTGGTTCCAAACATCTTCCACTGATGATGGAGGCCACTGTGCTCATTGGAACTTTCAGAGCAGCAGACATTTTTCAGTATCCTTCCCCAGCCTTGTGCCTCGAGACAATTCTGTCTCGGAGGTCTACAGACAATTCCTTTGTCTTCATGCTTGGTTTGTGCTTTGACATGCACTGTCAACCCTGGGACCTTATATCGACAGGTGTATGCCTTTTCAAATCATGTCCAATCAATTGAATTTACCACAGTTGAACTCCAATGAAGCTGCTGAAACATCTCAAGAATGATCAGTGGAAACAGAATGTACCTCAGCTCAATTCAGAGCTTCATGGAAAAGGCGGTGAATACTTATGCACATGTGATTTTTCAGATATTTTATTTTTAATAAATTTGCAACAATTTCAAAAACTCTTTTTTCACATTGACATTATGGGGTATTGTGTGTAGAATTTTAAGGAAAAAAAATAATTTAATAAATTTTGGATTCAGGCTGTAACATAAAACAATGTGGAAAAAGTGAAGCGCTATGAATACTTTCCGGATTTACTGCATATATCGATTTTTTATTGAAAAATGGTAAAGTTGAGTATTCAATATGTTAACTTGTTAAACTCAAAATCAAAAGAGCTAACTTTTTAAAACAGTACAGTTCTCTTCCCGATTCCTGCTTTCAGCAATATCAAAATAAACACTGAGTAATGCTATTATTTTTTTTTGCTCTGTGATTCACATTCTCAATCTGCATTGCATTAAGGTCACAGCTAAAGGCATCATGGGAGAATCAGTTGGCTGACACCATTTACTGACTTTCAGGGTCACAAGAGCAAAACATCTGAACTCTTCAACTGCACATAAGCCTCATATTATAGAAATCAAAATACTCTAAAAACTGAGCCTTTGTAAACATAATAAGAAAACACTAGGCAAAGCCTGAACATGCTAGAGAAAGTACACAAACATGCAGCGGAAAACTGGGGGAAATCAGGACAGATTTCCTGCAGACACTGTGAAAGCCTGCCCTCCGTCTCTCTTTCACTGCCGCCTCATTCTCCAGCTCAAAACACACTAATTGGGGCTCAATTAATGCAGAAACTTCCAGGGCTTCATTCACTCTCCATTCAAAGCTAGCATCACTCACACGCATGCATACAAGCACACAGGAGCAAACACACAAGCACGCACATACAGTGCCCACAACATTAGGAATACAAGTTGCATAAGTAGGTGTGCACACACAGGAACATAAAAGCACACACATACATGTGCACACACATACACACAATAATACACATACAAGGGCATATTGAAACACATACAAAAAATGCACACACAGGCAGACACTCACTCACATGAACAAACACAAACAGACGAAAACACACAAACTAACACACACACACGTTTGTTTTTGTGAAAGGTGGGTACATTACATAGGTTTCCATTAATTTAATACCGATCAAACCTTATATTGTATTGCCCTCACCCTACCCTAAACCCAACCATCACAGGAGACAGTGAACAGCTTTACTCTCTGATTAAACTCATCCTGTGGAGTTTATAAGCTTTTTGAGAAATGAGGACGTCACCAATGTCCTCATATTTCACCTCCTTTTTGTAATACCCGTGTCATACCCATGTCATTATACAGACTTGTGTCCTGATATGTCACAAAACACATACACACACACACACACATACACACACACACACACACACATACACACGTGCAGTCTGCACACACATAAACATACACATGTACACACACAGGATAAATAAAAACGCATAAAAACACACATGTACACACTTGCACGCGCGCACGCACACATACACACACACACAGCACATTTGCACCATCTTTCCAGCTTGTCCTCCGGGGTTTGTGTGACTACAGCTTCACTCAAGGTCATTATGAGCAGTTATTTCCAGCACTGACTGCAACATTAACTGCAGCACAGATCCGTCAGAGACAGAAGCACGGCTGGCACGTTTTGACGCAGTGAACGCTTTAAGTCAACATGAACTCAAAACTGACCTGGCTTATCTTCTTTTGTGCATAATTCATCAGAGCACGTTATTCAAGAGAAATGCTGAAAAGGTATGCAGATTCTGCTCAGAGTGAACTTTTGTTTTCTGCTGACTTTACCTACAGAATGCATGTGGGTTTCTGGATAATGCAAACCAAGAGCGAGACTATATATATATAGATATTCATTCATTCATTCATTTTCTTTTCGGCTTAGTCCCTTTATTAATCTGGGCTCACCACAGCGGAATGAACCACCATACTTAGATATTGTTCATGTCAATTTGACTTAACAAGTAGTTATAGTAGAGTACTGTTCAAAGTTAAACAATAACTGCATTTTTGAACGATTAGGTTCACTGCAGAATAAATAAGCAGTCCAAAACACACACACACACACACACACACACACACACACACACACACACACACACACACACACACACACACACACACACACGTATACATGGTTTAGGGACTTTCCATAGGCGCAATGTATTTGACATCTTGGTCACAAGCCTCTTTAACTACATTGAAGCCTATTGACTCAATATATAAACAAGCAGTTAAAATTATGGACGTAAAGCCTTTGCAATGGCATCACTGTGAAGTTTTATGTAAACATAACCTTTTTAGTTTTAATAGTTTTATTAAATTTAATTATCTTCAATTGGTTTTTAAATGTTTAAATAATCATGTTCCAATCCTGTTTTCTGATCTAATAAGTAGGCATCAAATCTCTCACAGAGTTACACGGGCAACTGCTAATGGTGACTGTCTAGTGCCAAAGTGTAAAACCTCTTTTGGTTGGCTTGAAACTGTCTTCTCTGTAAAGGGAGCCAAACCGTGGAATGATTTACCTGTTAGCCAAAAATCAGAAACTAATACAAATTTTTTTAGTAGTGCTCTTGAAAAGTGGTTAAAAACAAAACAGCAGTGCTTGCACAAAATCTACTATTAGTTTGTTGGATCATGTCGCCTTTGCTTTTGCCTTCAGTGATTTTATGAAAGAATTATAATGTTGTGTATATGTATTTATTGTATTTCAATTTTGTCCATTTTTTCAAGCCTACTGTGGACAGGTGTTGAGAATTAGTAAGTTTGCTAAAACACTTCAACAAATGCATTTGGTTCTCCAGTATAATTGTGATGTTCATGTCAAATAAATAAATAAATACAAATTAATCTGCCTCTAAACCCAACCCTCACAAAAAACGTGGCAAATTTAGGATTTCAAAACACTCCGTTAAGTATGATTTTGAAGTATTTTGAATTACAGGGACAAAAGGACCACCTTAATAAAGTACAACTAAGTCATACCCATATCATTATACAACCTTTATTACATCAATATTATATTATTACATTATATCAATATCTGTTAATCAACAGTTTCCGTATTTCCTGATTAACAAGTGTTTTCTGTTTGTTTACCGTTAGTATTTGCATTATGGGATGTTGATCTCTGCTCTGTCAACTTTCGATGTTGAAATTTCAACTCTACAGTTTAACCAAGTGACTTTTATTGACATTGTAGTAGTTTAAAATAATAAAAGAAATAATATAAAAAGAAATAAGTCTGTAAAACAACAGAAAATGTACTGGCAGTTTAATACTGCTGTGATCGCAGACGATCTGGCAGTTGCAGATTGCTAGAGAATTGCTAGTCACAGTAATGAACTACAACTCCCAGCATGCACCTCACACACCGGTTCCTGTTTCCCACTAATTACACTCACACAGCTGGCAACTCATCACAGACTGATTAGCTGGACTTTATATTCACCCCATACACACACACACACACACACACACACACACACACACATTATGGAGTTTTGTTTTGGCTAGCGAAAAGTACGAAGCGTTTTCCTGTTTGTCTTGCCGTGTTTTGATCCTTGTCTTTTTTGATTGTTTGCCTCTTAGCCTGACCATTTGTCTGTATTTGGCCCACGTATTTTGGATTATCTTTATGCTACTGTTTGCCTCTGTTTTTTCACCATTGCCTGCACAACTTCTCTTTAAATAAACTGCATGTGGATCTTCACGTCCGCTGTCCAGTGACCTTTGTTACAATTAAAAGGATTTTGTATCGTAAAATACAACACCAACCCAGTCAAAATATCACTTTAAACGATTAAATATGTTCATAAAAGTCACTTTTTCAAACATTTCAAGGTCAAAAGTTGTTGGAAGAGAGATCAATGTCCCATAATGCAATTCAAAAGCATAAATAAATAGGGAAAAATAAAACAATGAAGCACAAAATACAAAAAACTGCTTATTTATGGATGCTCTTTTTATGGTGTAGCTAAAGCATAAAGTGCAATTTTCTTCCAGTACATCTTTTTTTCATGACCAGTTTGTCCTAATTTAATTCATACAAAGAATATTGCCATGGGCAGCAGATAGTCATCATTTTTTTGAATAAATAAAACACAGAAAGTGAACTCATTTTCTGATCAAATGACAGATAGAGACATATTCTGATATAAAGTAATGTGGCTGGACTTGAATGAGTCTGCAAGTGCAGTGTTCAGCTAAAGTAATTCAGTTGTGTTTACCTTTGGCCTGAGCTGCTGCAGGTTTGGCTTTATCGCTGAACACCAGACTGCGGCGATTCCCTGCTGAACTGATGGACCCTCGAGGAGAGCTCTCACTGCCCGCAGTGGACATCCTCGAGGTCGGCCCAGGCAATCTGTGACAGAAAGGCGAACATAGTATTAATGGCAGTATCTTTGAAGAATAACTGTGTGCTTGATATCATGCTAAGGTGCTATTTATGTGTTCTGTGTTTTAGGTGCTGCTGCTGTACTGTATGTAGATGTTAGAGTGTTTTATTACCTATCCAGAGTGGTCGCTTAATGCCTTAAAATGGATAGTTCACGCAAAATTGGGAACATACTCAATATTTACTCATCCTCAAGTGGTTCCAAAGCTTTATGAGTTTCTTGAACACTAAAGAAGCTATTTGGAAGTTGAAAAAGTGTATCTATTGATTTCCATTGTAAAAAAACAAACACTATGGAAGTAAATGGTTAGAGCTTTCCAACATTCTTTAAAATACCTTCTTTGAGTTTTACAGAAGAAAGAAAATCTCAAAGCTTTGGAAGTACTTGATGGTGAGTAAATATTAAGTACTTCTACATTAAGTACTTTTAAAATGAAGAAAGACATTCATAAAGGTTTGAAACAAGCAAAGGGTGAGTAATTGATGATAGAATTTTCATTTTTTAATGAACTGTCACTTTAAGATATATATATATATATATATATATATATATATATATATACAGTTATGTCTGGTTTTTGAATCTGACTGGATGGTAGCCGTGCAATAATTTTCCAGTAATAATTTTCCTCTTCACCCTTAACCCTTGTGTATTACTCCGCCCACATACAGCAACAAGCAGAGGACACTCTACAGTTTGACAAAATTTTTAAAGCTTTTTTAGTTGAGAATGTAGTTGTTTAGATTGCAACTATGCAGTTTATTTAGAAGATAGTGGTTATTTTAAAATATTTATAATTTCTGACAGACAGTGCGTCGACGGCCATTAGTCTGTTAGTCTGTCATACCGAGCAAAGACGATTGACATTGTCCATCCACAAGATGGTGACAGAAACCGCATAATAAGCCCTTAGAAGAATAAAACAGCGTAATTTCAAACTACAGCTGAACAACTACATTCTCGACTAAACAAGCCATTAGCTGCAATATTTGTCAAACTGTAGTGAGTTTATTGATCTGCTGTCACTCTATGTGGGAGGAGTAATACACAAAGGTGAAGAGGCTGTGTGTGTGTGTGTGTGTATATAAAACACTACCCTAAAATAAACAAACAATAAACTGATGAATTTTGTCAGATCATTTACACAACAACAATGTTTGCTGTATATGTTACGATATTTTGCTAACCTTCCCATCAAGTAATAAAATGAATGTTAAGCAAGCGACAAGCAATCATTCTACATAATGATTCTCCATACATTATGGGAATGTTACTTCAGAATGTTAACATTCTGAAATAGGAAATGTTTTTTTTTTAAATGTTAGCGGGGTGTTCAGCTAAGGGCTGCATTTACAGTATAGCAAATTACCAAACAGAAACATTTCCTTTTTAAAAGCATTTCCTTATTTTTAAAAACTTTCATATACCAATGTAAAAAAAATTGCAAAAACAACTATTTTTTTTTTAGCAAATTATTTAATGTTACATTTCTCACTATTAAAAAAAAAACATTAACTATTATTTTAGCTAAAAAACGAATTAGCTGCTTATTAATATTAAGGTAGTTGGGTTTAGGTATTAGGCAGTATTAGAGATGTAGAATAAGAACAATACTCCATAAGCACTAATCAACAGACAATATCTTAATAATAGGCAGATGATAAGCTAGTTAATAGTGAGAATTGGTACTTTAACTAAATTTCGATTTAATAATAAGAAACATATTGCTTAATAAATTGATAAAAGCTATGATATGCTATGATTACATTATGTTTCAATAAATACCCAGGAATCCACATACGTGATGGACATTTGTCATTATAATGTGGCATTTCTCCATCGTTCCAATCTTTAAAGGTGATTGACAGACAGACTAATCTCCCTAAACAATCAGTCCAGGTAAATGCCACGTCAGTGTCATGTATAATACAGTAACATCTGTCATGACCTATGCTAATCACATTGCTGTCACACATTCCCTCATAAAAATGTAAAATAGGTTACCCTGTTTATTTTTTGTAGGGTTTTTTTTTTTTTTTTTAACTAAAATACATCTCAGACCTGAGGAAGACTTGTTTGCAGTTACACTTATCAAACAATAGGTGGCAACATTGCACCGCGTGTCGCAAAATAAATAAATAAACAGCGGATTATTAGACTGGGCAAATTTTCAAAACGGGAATTTTAAATCAGGTGGCCGAGAGTATTTTTAGAGTAGTTATTTCAAGCCTATTACACAAGTGAGTGCAATGCATTTGCAGCAGGTGACCGAGGGCACGACCGCATCATTCATTCAAAGCAAAATTACAACCTCAAGCTTTCTGTCACACTCCATAGTTAATAATTAATCTGCTACTCCAACAGGCATCACACAGAGTGGGTTATTTTAAAGTTAGCACAGCTCACTGAGCAGACATCTCCGCTGGGACGTGTTTTTGGGTAACGTCTCCTGACAGAGTCCACCTATTCTGTCTAGACCAATATTTTCAAAGAAAGCTTCGCCAGAATGGGACAGTTTGTGATTTATGAATTATACAGTCGTTTGTAATTCTTTATTAGATGCAAAAATGGTCATTTATATTTATAAATAGCTGTGGCCACAGTTAAATAGCTATATTTTAGAACACTTGTTCAAGTGCATAAAAATCACGTGTTTGATCAAAATGAATATTGTTTAATATAGTCACAGTTATTTATGAGACAGTAAAATAAGGTGTTTATGATGCAAGGATGAGTACTTTAGAATTCATAATAATGCATCATAATAAAATATACTTATACACTCACCGGCCACTTTATTAGGTACACCTGTCTAACAGCTCGCTAACACAAATAGAAGATTGGAAAAACGTAGCCTGGTCTGACGAGTCTCGATTTCTGCTGCGACATTCGGCTAGTAGGGTTAGAATTTGATGTCAACAATATAAAAGCATGGATCCATCCCGCCTTGTATCAACTGTTCAGTCCACAGTCACCAGCTCTCAATCCAATAGAGCACCTTTGAGGTGTGGTGGAACGGGATATTCATATCATGGATGTGCAGCCCACACACATGCAGACACTGCTTGATGCTATCATGTCAATATGGACTAAAATCTCTGAGGAATATGTCCAGTACCTTCTTGAATCTATGCCACAATGGATTACGGCAGTTCTGAAGGAAAAAGGGGATTCAACCCGGTAGTAGTAAGGTGTACCTAATAAAGTGGCCAGTGAGTGTATATGCATATAATAATTGAATATTAATGCTGGTCAATGCTTGTAAATAAGACATTGTAAGGCAGTTGTAATATTTGTGTTAGTTTCACAGATACATAGGTAGAGTTAGAGCATCATGCAGATATTGAGTGAGGAAGAGGAGGGTGATGACAAGCAGGTTGACCGTAGGGAGAAAATACACGAGAGAGAAAGCGCTACCTAGAAGACTTTTTCTGACCAATGGAAAACTTGAGTTTACTCTGAGAGCCATCCCTACATCAGAAGAAGAAGAAAAATAAGAGAAGAGAGAGAGATAGAGATAAAGAAAATGAGAGAGAGCTGGACATACACTGACAGTGATGATGACTAACACAACAACACAAACTAAGACAATGAACACATAAATTCCCATTAAACTACAGAGAAAGTTTACAATGTTCAGTAGATGGATAAATAGATCCATAAAACAATGGATGGATGGGTGGATGGATGGGATTGAATGAATCAGATAGATAGATAGATAGATAGATAGATAGATAGATAGATAGATAGATAGATAGATAGATAGATAGATAGATAGATAGATAGATAGATAGATAGATAGATAGATAGATAGATAGATAGATAGATAGATAGAATTAATAGATAGATGGATGGATGGATGGATAGATTGATGTGATAGATGCATGGATATATGAATTGAATTAAATACATGGGATTGATGGATGGATAAGATCGAATAAATGAATGAATGGATGCATGGACGGATAAATGGGATGGATGGATGAGATAGATGGATGGGATTGGATAGATGCATGGATGGATCAAATTAGGTGGACGGATGGGAATGATGGATGAACGAATGAGAATGATGCATGGATGGATGGATGGGATTGTATGGATGGATGGATGGATGGATGGATGAGATTAGATAGATAGATAGATAGATAGATAGATAGATAGATAGATAGATAGATAGATAGATAGATAGATAGATAGATAGATAGATAGATAGATAGATAGATAGATAGATAGATAGATAGATAGATAGATGTGATTGAATGGATGATTGACGGATGGATTGGTTGAACAGAACAATACATAACAGAACGTCAGATAGAAAGCTGGAATGATAGAGAGACTGACAGTTTGCTAAACAGAAAGCAGGACTGATAGAGTGATGTTTTACCTGGACTGCATGTCTGTCTGTGTTTTGTGTGAGTGTGGCCCATGCGGGGTGGAGATCAGCTGGGCCGGAGCGCTGCTCTGCTGGATTAGATGAGTGTGTGAGTGTGTGTGCTGTGTGTGTGTCTGTCGGCTCGTTTGTTGCTGCTGCTTGTATCGAGACAGGCTAAAGAAAAGCCCCAAGATGGCTTTCAGATTCCCATTCCGGATCTCTGTGAGGAACAGACAAGAGGTCACTGTTTAGTAGAGTATAATTGCACGTATTTATTTTGTCTTTGCCATGATTACAGTACATAATATCTTACTAGTTATTTTGCAAGACACCAAAATACAGCTTAAAGGACAATTAAAAGCTTAACTAGGTTAATTAGGTTAACTAATTCAGTTTAATTAAGCAAGTCTTTAAACAAGTCTTTGGTTTGTTCTGTATACAATCATCAAAATGAATAATAATAATTTCTTAACGGGGAGTAATTATATTGTTAAAAAAATTTTTTTTTAATAAAACAGTTTTTATTGCAGCCAAACTAAAGGAAACAAGACTACGCTTTTCCGGAAGAAAACATAATACTTGCTTCACTTATTAAAACACCTATCACTCATTCATTCATTCATTCACTCAATTTCCTTCACCTTAGTCCCTTTATTCATCAGGGGTCGCCACAGCAGAATGAACCACCAACTTATCCAGCATATGTTTTACACAGTGAATGCCTTTCCAGCTGCAACCCAGTACTGGGAAACATCCATACACACTCATTCACACACACACACAATACGGCCAGTTTAGTTTATTCCATTCACCTGTACCCGCATGCCTTTGGAATGTGGGGGAAACTGGAGCACCCGGAGGAAACCTACATACGCTCACCGGCCACTTTATTAGGTACACCTGTCCAACTGCTCATTTACCAAATTTCTAATCAGCCAATCACATGACAGCAACTCAATGCATTTAGGCATGTAGACATGGTCTATATGATCTGCTGCAGTTCAAACCGAGCATTAGAATGGAGAAGAAAGGTAATTTAAGTGACTTTGAACATGACATGGTTGTTGGTGCCAGACAGACTGGTCTGAGTATTTCAGAAACTGCTGATCTACATATCTGGTTCGAGCAGATAGAAAGACAACAGTAACTCAAATAACCACTCATCACAACCGTGGTATGCAGATGTGCATCTCTGAATGCACAACACGTCCAACCTTGAGGCAGATGGACTACAGCAGCAGAAAACCACACCAGGTGCCACTCCTGTCAGCTAAGAACAGGAAACTCAGAATTAAGTGTCAACACCATGAAAGCTTGGATCCATCCTGCCTTTTATCAACGATTCAGGCTGGTGTTGGTGGTGTAATAGTGTGGGGAATATTTTCTTGGCACACTTTGAGCCCAGTAGTACCAAGTGAGCATTGTGTCAATGCCACAGGCTACCTTAGTATTGTTGCTGACCATGTCCATCCCTTTATGACCACAGTATACTCATCTTCTGAAGGCTACTTTCAGCAGGATAACATGCCATGTCATGAAGCTCGAATCATTTCAGACTGGTTTCTTAAACATGACAATGAGTTCACTGTACTCAAATGGCCTCCACAGTCACCAGATCTCAATCCATTAGAGCAATTTCAGGATGTGGTGGAAAGGCAGATTCACATCATGGATGTGCAGCCGATAAATCTGCAGCAACTGCGTGATGCTATTATATCAATATGGAACAAAATCTCTGAGGAATAATTCCAGTACCTTGTTGAATATATGCAAAGAATAATTAAGACATTTCTGAGGGTAAAAAGGGGTCCAACCCGGTACTAGTAAGGTGTACTTAATAAAGTGGCCGGTAAATGTATTACTAAATAGTTAATACATTTTACTTATGTTAAACCTTTTTTTTTTTTTAGATAGATTTGTTGGTTGTACAGATTGGGTAGCTTTACATGGACAAAGTAACATTAATTTGTTTAAAAGCATTTAAGACCTAAAACAGCATATTTCAGTGAATGTAAGACTTTCTAAGATTTTTCATACTGTCCTTAAATACATTTTTTTAAATTTAAGACAGTTTAAGACCCAGAGGACACCCTGCTATAGTACAGAAAAGGTGAGAAGATGTAGTCATTATGTCATAGTTGACACAATATAACCTAGAGCAGTGGTTCTCAAAGTGGGGGTCGGGACCCCCCCGAGGGGTCGCGGGGCAATGAAGAGGGGTCGCCTGGTGATTTCCAAAAATCTATTTATTTTTATTAAACCATAAGAATTAACATATTTTATCCATAACTATACTGAAAATAAAAATAGTCGTTTATAGTTACTATATACTATATAGTTACTATAGGAGCTTATAGTTACTAGTTCTATTGGATTGCGACCCCTGGGGTAATTACATTATATTAAAGGCAGCAATAGCGTCAGATGCATTTTGATTTTATAACATCAGGTTATACTTTCTGGCACATTTAAAGCACTGACACAAATTTAATTGGTGTGTCTGCGTCATTGCATGCAAGGTTTCTGTATTTATAACCACCTCAGAGGATATTGGGGGTCGCGAGTCACTGGCATTGTTATTTTGGGGGTCGCGGGCTGAAAAGTTTGGGAACCCCTGACCTAGAGTGTTAACAATAATAGAAAAATAGTGTATTTAAACCTGTATTTAGCACAGTATCTGTCTCGAGTCAGTCGAAATGAAATCTAAAATTTATAAAATATTTTGAAGTGTTTTTACCTTCAGCTGATAGTCCCTGTATGTTCACACCTTTGGCTGCTAGAAAGCTCAAACAGGCATCAATGTTCTCAATCTGGAGAGAAAAAGACAGAAATGAAGCCAATAAGCACTGTAGAAATCACAGATATATGAACAGAAATCAGTCACTATCACCTAAATAAAACAGGTGTTTAATGAGGCAATGCGGACACTATTAAGACTGCCTGGCACCTGCAATATTTCTGAATGAACGCGTGACTGGACATTCCCTCTCTAGTACTCTAGTGCTGTCAGAGAGCATAGATTGGCTGCTCAGTCAAAGCAGTATGCAAAGCCTTTGCTGCCAATCGCTGAGGGCGTCACATTTGCTCTGTTGCTAGGAAACCTTGTTAAGGGCACGACACTGACCCGGCCATATACCAGAGTCACTCAGTTCAGTGCTGGAGGATTTCTGATTGGCTGAGGGGAGGGTGATGTCATAGGCTGAACGTGAAGGTCATGTGGGTGCTACTAGGATATGTTTATTATATTTACCATGTTTACCATGTGTTATATTTACATTACTAGGGTTGATGTCATGCATAATATCATGGCTGTATGTGTTCTGTTTGTGCAGCTAATGATGTATTTTATGGTATTCATACTGTATATTGCCATTGAATGAAAAAAAAATCCTCTTTTATTTCTATATGGGCAATAATCACCTCACTAGTAAGCTGTACATAAATACACTATCATAGTTTTTCATAATAGTTCATTCATTCGGCTCAGTCCCTTTATTAATCCGGGGTCGCCACAGCGGAATTAACCGCCAACTTATCCAGCAAGTTTTTACGCAGCGGATGCCCTTTCAGCCGCAAACCATCTCACAGAAGACGCAAACCGCAAACTCCACACAGAAACGCCACACAGAAACGTTAACTGAGCCGAGGCTCAAACCAGCGACCCAGCAACCTTCTTGCGCCCTACTGCGCCACTGCTTCACCTTCATAATAGTCCTTTAAAAATATAAAAAATAAATAAAATAAATAAAAAGTTCTCACAAAATATTCTGGTCTTTTAAATCCTGAAAGTTGATTTTAGAGTGAGCCCATGTCAAATCTGTCCTAATAGCTATCATTATTCATAAATATCATCAGCTTATGAATGAACGATAAAACAGAAGATCGCCAAATTTAAACAGAGAATGACATCTGTACAGTTTACTCACACTAAAATGACAAAATGTTTAAAAAGTTGAATTAATTTTAAACTCAGTCAAAAAAAGTTTCATCCAACAAAGCATCGCCTGGTTTGATATATTGTGCAATAATTAAAGGACATTAACATGTTATAGCTTTAACACGCAGATAGAGCAATGAACAATAATAATAAACAATATAATTAATATTTATTCTGGGAGACTTGAGACACTTAAAATGTATAACAATGTAACAACACCAACAGCAACAGCAAAAACAATATTATTATTATTATTATTGTTGTTGTTGTTGTTGTTGTTATTGTTGTTGTTATTAATAATAATAATGACAATTATAATATCAACAACAACAATTTATTTCACATTTTTTAAAGCGTATTAAATGCTGAAGTGTAAAATAACAAACAATAAATAAATGAATAAATAATAATAAACAATAGTATTTGTAGGAGCCATTTTTTGTGTTGTAGTGATTTATGTTGTCCACTAGGTGTCACTAACTGAAAACTATAACTGAGGTGCCTGTGTAAGCGAGGAAGAGCGTCAGGTATGGGAAAGCACACGGTTTTTGACCGTGCTACAGAGTAACTTGTTTGCTAGCCAGAAAACAGCAGTGTTTAGATATGTGCTGTGTATACATGGAGTGAATGTTATATTGACATGATAAAGAAGAAAGGAGAAGCAAAGATTGAGGCTTTGTTTAATTCACCTGCACAAATAAAGACATTCTGCTTAAAAACAACTTTAGCATGCATGGACTCTGATTGCACGCGTGAAATACGTGCTCACCCCCATTTCTGGCGATAACAGCAATGGAAGGCTGTTATATTAAGTCAAAAACCTCTGCTTCCAGTGATCTGTGAGTATAAATTCACGTCAGTGACAGCACTTGAACACATTTATACTTGGGACCGATAGCTATGTGGATCTCGTTTGCTGTTCCTGTTTGAGTTGCTGTGGATCTCGCTTGCTGATCCTGTTGGAGTGGCGTTGGACTTCATTGCTGTTCCTGTTGGAGTTGCTGTGGATCTCGTTTGCTGTTCCTGATAGAGTTGCATTGGACTTCGTTTGCTGTTCCTGTTCTAGTTGCGTTGGACTTCGTTCGTTCCTGTTGGATTCGCATTGGATGGTGATTCAACACAGGATTTAAAGGTACATTGTTGCAACAATAACTGAACTTAATGGCCATTTAATATGTGTGCACACAAAACAAGCGTAAATCCAATGCATTGGTTGCCAAAGGGTTGGACAATTTTTTGTACTGTATGGTTGTTCTGAAATTGTGGTAATATGGAGGAACAGTGTTTAAATGAGGAAGAATCTGCTGGGTCAAAACAACAGCTTTATGATGATAGTGAGCCTGAAAGGCAAAAAAGGCCAGTTAAACTTACCGCAAAGGCCTTATTGGAAAAACTGCAATCATTGCAAGCAATTAGGAAAGCAAAGTTGAACAAAGCAGGCAAAATAATAGAAACTATTAAAAGGTTGATGCAAAATAACAGAGAATATGAAAATGAAGTACAAAGTGTATTTGAAAATTTCAAAAGGTCATGTTTGGAGGCTCAAGAAGCACATGAATCTTTGTTGACTTTGTTGCCTGATAATGAAATTGAGAAACATGATATATGGTACAAGGCAAAAATGATTTCAAAAAACGAGTTTATTGAACATGTCAATTTATGGTTGTCCACATCTGACACATGTCAGGAAATAACTGAAGGGGTTACTGATGCAAATATTAATGATGAGGTCGTCCCAGAGGACAGTGTTTCAAATGTTTCAAAGGGTGCCACTAACTATAGTAAGCACAGTTCCAGTAGTAGTTCTCCTACTGCATCAGCTCGTGTACAGGCCGAAGCAGAGAGAGCTGCACTTATGGCCCGTGCCGCTGCATTGAAATCTAAACATGCAATTGAAACAAAGCAAGAGGAATTGAGAAAACAGAAGGAACAACTTGAATTGGATGCTGAAATAGCAGCATCTACTGCAAAACTTGCTGTTTTGAGTACTGTTGGCAGCCAAAGCAAATGCTCACGTACTGGTAGTTCTCATTCAAAAGGAAAGGAAGTTACAAAGAGTCAAACGTCAAGGGATGTGATTGGAAATGGAATTTTTGATTCAACAAGAAGAAAAATATTAAATCCACAAGCTACTGAATATGTACCAACAAGTCAACTATCAGTGGCCACAGTTGGAGCTAAAAACAGCAGTCCATCACAACCAACTGGCACTACCTCTAACTTCCCATCACAATCAGTTCGTGCTACTTCTAACTTCCCATCACAATCAACAACAATGCAGCACATAGGAGGATTGAACACTTATGGCACCAGCACTCATCAACATCAGGACTCAAGTCAGTTTGTACAACATTCCAGTGGCAGTATGGCAACACAAGCTATAAACCCTCTTCCATCTCATGATGAACCTCTTTTTGAGATTTTGAAAAAGCAGGAGGAGCTCACTGCATATCTTGTACATCAAGCTCAACCTCACACACTTCCAAATAGAGAGATTCCAGTCTTTAATGGTGATCCACTTCATTATGTATCCTTTTTGAGAGCATTTGAACATGGTGTTGAGGAAAGAACTCGCAATAAAAGGGACTGTTTGTATTTTTTGGAGCAATTTACCACAGGTCAACCTAAAGAACTGGTTCGAAGTTGTCAACATCTTGATCCTGAAATAGGTTATCCATTGGCTAAGAATCTTCTGAAGGAGCAATTTGGAAATGATTTTAAAATTGCTGCTGCATATATGGATAAAGCTTTAGGCTGGCCCTTGTTAAAGGCTGAGGACGCACAAGGGTTATATGCATATTCCTTGTTTTTGCGCTCATGTTGTAACCTTCTTAATGACATCTCTTTTATGCAAGAGCTCAACATGCCAAGTAATATGAGAACTGTTGTAATGAAGTTACCTTTCAAGTTGAGAGAACGTTGGCGAGAAAAGGCCTGTGAGATAATGGATCTGATCCAAGCCAGACCCAATTTCTCACATCTTGTTGATTTCATCGAACGACATGCAAAGATCGTTTCTGATCCTGTGTTTGGATGTATTCAAGACAAACAACAAGTTGCAAGCAAAGCTGGTAAGGTATTCAAGGGAAACAGTTTTGCTACAAATGTTGTTGCCTCAGTTCCAGTTAAAAACTTGCAGCAAGGAACTCGTTTTGTGAGCAAGATTGATGAAAGCAAGACTTGCTTGTTATGTCAAGGCAATCATGTTTTGGAAAGGTGTCATGTTTTAAAGAAGAAGACACAACGAGAAAAGATTGACTTTTTGAAAGGAAAAGGAATTTGTTTCAGCTGTTTGAAATCTAGACATTTAAGCAAAGAATGTGACAATCGTATTGTCTGTGAAGTCTGCAAGCAAATGCATCCTACAGTTTTGCACATATATCGCAAATTGGCAGCTGGAATTCCACAGGCAAAGGACACTGAAAAGAGGAGCAGCATAGTCTCTACCCAAACTTGTGGCCATACAGGGGCCGGGAATGAAAAGTGCTTGCTTTCAATTATTCCAGTACAAGTAAAATCAGTTAAAAGTCAGAAAGTAATTCAGACTTATGCCTTTCTGGACCCTGGGAGCTCAGCCTCATTTTGTTCAGAGCAGCTCATGAATGAGCTTAACATTGGAGGAAAAAAAATTAACATCTATCTTCGTACTATGGGGCAAGAACAGCCTGTGTCTTGTAATGTCATAACTGGTTTAGAGGTATGCGGTATCAACAGTAATAAGTTCTTCTCTCTTCCTGAAGTGTACACACAGAAGAAACTGCCTGTCAATTCGGACAATATTGTAACGCAGGAGGACATTTCCAAATGGCCATATCTGGACAGAGTAACAATTCCTCACATTGAAGCCAATATAGGTTTACTGATTGGAGCTAA